TGTCCCTGTGCTTTCCCCTGGACCAACGAGTAAACATTACCTTCTGTTTCAATCTGTCCAATCTCCTTCCAGAAGTTGTGGTTGAAGATATTTAGAAGGCTGATCATCAAAAAGAGGTTTGAACTACAGTATATTCACATATTGAGAAAGAAACCTAGGACCATTTCTTTGGTTTATATGGAATAAAAATATGTGATTTGCTGCCTTTAATGGGAACTCTTTAAAATGTCAGTGTAGTTAAGGGTCTTGTAGTTAAGTTTGTTTAACATTGAATCTGAAAGTGATGTATCTATCTATCTATCTATCTATCTATCTATCTATCTATCTATCTATCTCTCTCTCTCTCTCTAGGGGGTTGATGATAGACAAAAATGACTTTCTACATAGTTGAAAAGGAATAGGATATATAGTTTATAAATTTCCTTTCTATGATCTTATAAACAGCGGGGGGAAAAAACAAAAAACAATCAAAAGCCTTTATGGTGCATTCAGACCGCATGCAGTGAAGGCGGTGATTTTAGCGAGTCCTGCAGGTAGTTTACCACTCTGCATTTCAGATGCACAGTGTTTGCATCCTGGACCATATCATCAAATAGGAAGGGCTTCGGTTGCATGAAGCTGAAACCCCACTGACGTGAAACAAACTCAGCAAATAGAGTGAATAGTTATTGCCTATATAGTTCAGGTTTATGCATTTAAAATGCTTATTTGGAAAACTGAAAAAATTCAATAAAAAAAAGATAATGAGTGCTGCTGTTGTTTTAGAGATATTAAAGATTATTTTTAGGTCACCCAGTGGTCAAATACCACCCCATTAAGCTCTGAATTAAAGCAAAATGATCTAGTCTACTTTTTCTGTGCTACTTTATTTCTGCAGGTAAAGTTATCGTTTGTGCTTAAGATAGAATTATTTTTAATTACACCACCATCGATGATGACACCATCGCAGCAGACGGTAGTGATGTGCTCATTTCCCGATATAAAGTTATTGCATAACATTACATGTAATTCCTGTACTGAACATAAAAGTGGTGCTCATTTGATTCTGTTGATGTTTTTAAGAGTGAACTAAAAAAGTATTTGTTTAAGAAATAATTTTAATTCTAGTAGATAAAAGATTGTTTTATGACCATGTCTTTTGTGGCTGTAAAGGTATTTTTATTTGTATTGTAACTTTGTGAAGCACTTTGTGACCTCTTTGTGAAAGATGTTATATAAATAAACATTACTTACTTACGGGTACTTAGAGAGCTGCACCCTGAGCTCTCCATTACCTTTGCATTGCAGAGAAGCTACTTTGCATGTAAAACTTTTAACAACTGTCAATGGGCAAAGATTTTTGCGCCCTAGGGCAGAAATACGTCACCAATCCGATGAAAAATGGATAAACGCTTCACGAGTCATTAAAGATTAAATATTTATCTTGCACATCTAAAATACATATAGATATATTCCAAAATACTTTACATTTTAATTTAAAGGGAAATTATATTTAAAAAAAAAATAATTCTTTTTTTTTTAATGCGTTAATCAGGGTCATTGGGTGTAGGGCGGCGCCCTAACACCCAATGACCATCTATTGGCCAGCTGCCACTGCTGGGGTGACGGTTATCTGTGTTGTGATCAGCTAAGTTCCTTCAAGCAATTCATAAATCAAAGAGAGAGAAAACTACTGACCAAAAATACATGTTGTTTTGGCAAAGTTAAAATAATTTTTTTAGCAGTTTTGAGTTTATACATTAGCAAGATTTACTCTAAATGAATCATAAAAAATGCTTTATCACCAAATAAGGAAAGCATGACTTTGCACTGATATAAATAGGATGGAGGAGGAGTGTTTTGTGTCTGTTTTCCTCTCAATAATGTTGAAATGAAACTTCCGCATTTATGAAACTAATTCCACAGAAATTTACACAATAATGTCATTTTCATATAGCAGATAACACACCCTGAATTATTTCAAAAATTCTGCCATCAGAAAAGATGACAACTTGAAGTTGCATTGATGTAATCATAGAAACACAACAAGAAATCTGATTTTTTTGTGCTATTTTTATTTTGAGGATTAAAAAATGGAGTATGCATAAAAGGACTCCTGTAATTTGAAACCTCCACATTGAAATAAAATGCAGTCCTCTTCAAACCACAATAACAATATGAGCATCTTTTTTCCCCCCTTATCGGGGTAACAACCTAATAATACACAGCCTGCAACATCAGCCTTTGAAATAGACTATGTAAACCATGATAAGCAAGTATGATTTAATTACAGTGCACCTCATGGTTTGTTTACAACAGACACCTGGCACTGTGCCGCGCTGAAACGTGTGTCACATGCTTTGCTTATAAAGATTAAGCTATAATCTTTGTTGATAGAAAAGTTTCAATATTTTGGTTAATAGTTCACTAAAGAGCCACATGCAGCTCTAGAATCTAGGGTAGGGTAGGATTTGTAGTGCACCTAATTTCAATTCAGCTGACGATAAAACAAAACATTTTTTTGTTGTTGCTATTTTTGACAGGTTTCAAAGTCCCTGAAACTGTTTTGAAGGATGAAAAGGAGAAAATTTAGCCATACAAACTTTTCGGTTTAAAAGTTAGAGGATTTGCAATCTTTGAAGGATGAAACAGATAGCAAATATTACAGTTTTTTCTGAATGCTTAAGCGCTAATCGTGATTCTTGTAGCACAATTTCTAAAACTATTACAGTTTTTTTTGGATTGCTTACACACTAAAGTTAAAAGTAGTACACTATTAGCAAAACCTTACAATCAAGAAGCAAAACATCAGCCCATATGTGCACAACTATTAGGACATTGTCAACCTCACACTTGTTGCAAAACTCTACACACAGTGATTTGCAAAACACTAAACACACTTAACATACATTACACACAAAAATCTATTATGAAGTCACTTCCTTGCAATACCAAAGGACTGACTGTCAAATTACCGCACCTTCCAACCAATTGATTCAACACAGTCATTAGGTGTGCAAACACTTGTTTGCTTAATTGTAGACACACCAATCAGGTGTATAAGCACTATAAAAAGCAGCAGGTGAGTTCATCGGTCTTCAAGCACAATGGAAAGAGTCAGAGAAATAGTAAGACGAGGTGGAGGACGAGGTGGAGGAGAAGGAGGAGGACAAGGAGGAAGAGGAGAAAGGGGAGGAAGAGGAATCAACAGAGGAGGAATCAATGGAAGAGGAAGAGATGGAGGCCATGCTGGAGGTAGAGGAAGAGGAAGACAAGAACGTGCTCAAAGAGGACTGAATCTGACAAATGAGATCCGCGCAACACTGGTTGATCACATTGTCAACCACGGCCTGACGCTGAGGGAGGCTGGACTGCGAGTACGGCCAAATCTAAGTGTGATAAGAACATTTCGACTGGAAAATAGGTATTGTAAAAATATCATCATATCAAAAACATCTGCACGGTTTCAGCAACTGCCTACAGTACTGTATTCTATGCACTATCAGCACTTCTGTTACCTTTTCCTGCGAAATTATTGTAGGAGGGAAGGCCTCCTATGTTCACAGAACAGCATGAGAGGGAGATAGTAAACATGGTTTTGGCCAACAATGATATAACCCTCAATCAGCTCCAAGCTAACATTGTCAATAACCACGTCGGTTTCAACAATATCCATCAGGTCTCAACATCAACACTGGCACGCATCCTAATAAAAAACCATATTCAAATTAAGAAAATTTATCGAGTGCCTTTTGAGCACAATTCCGAAAGGGTGAAACGACTGCGGCATGATTATGCAGAGGTATGTATTCACCTAAGCATTGTGATCTTGCATACTGTCTCATAATCTTTTACTGTACTGTAATATGTATACTAGATCTAAACTGAACATAATTTTGCCTGACACTGTTCTTCAGAGAGTTTTACAAATGGATGGAGAGGAGATCCAGCATGAGTTCATTTACGTAGATGAGGCTGGGTTCAACCTGAAGAGAACACGAAGGAGGGGAAGAAACATCATTGGCCACAGGGCTATAGTCAATGTCCCAGGGCAACGTGGGGGTAATATAACACTCTGTGCAGCCATTACACAGAATGGGGTCCTCCACCGCCATGCCCATGTGGGCCCTTACAATGCAGAACTCATACTTATATTCTTGGACCAATTGCACAACAAACAGCAGCAAATCAAATCGATCATATGCAATACATTGTTGTCTGGGACAATGTGTCTTTCCACCGCTCTGCTCTGGTTCAGAACTGGTTTCAGCAACATCCACATTTCACCGTCCTATATCTTCCACCATACTCTCCATTTCTCAACCCTATAGAAGAGTTTTTCTCGGCATGACGGTGGAAGGTATATGATCTCCGTCTCCAGGCTGAGGTACCCCCCATCCAAGCCATGGAGGAGGCCTGTGACCAGATGGAGGTAGCAGCAATGCAAGGATGGATCCGTCATTCAAGACGTTTCTTTCCAAGGTGTCTTGCTAATGACAACATTGCCTGCGATGTTGATGAAATTCTCTGGCCAGATCCAGCTAGGCGAAGAGACAATGTCTAGTTTTTGTTTTGTTTTTTACAGTAAACTTACAGTACAATACGTAAAGTGACATTTTGTTACAGTATTATGAATCTCCATGTCAACATTTTGGGCGTGTTGAGAAATAAATGAGTTTCTTCAGTCTGCAACATCTTGTGTAGTGTTTGGTGAATTTACATTATATTTGAACTTTGTTGATGGTAGCCAACTCTAATCATAGGGAAGTAGAAGTGCTAAAAGTGTTTTAGGTTTATCACAGCAGAGTGTAACTCGTGCAAACAGAGTATAGTAATTTGAAACGTGTGTGTTTCATATGGTAACAAAGTGTGGTTTTTACAGTTTTTTCTGAATGCTTAAGCGCTAATCGTGATTCTTGTAGCACAATTTCTAAAACTATTACAGTTTTTCTCAAATGCTAAAACACATTTCACAAACGTTTCGTCCATGTTCTTCAATGTCTAAACACAACACACTTTTCTAAAGCTACATAAACACAACCACACCTTCTCCCTTCAAAACTCAAACTTTCACACCAAAAGAGCAGCTCGAAGCTTTCAAAAATGTAAACACTATACACATCATTACACACTACAGCAAAACAATTGAAAACACAATGCTCAATTTGTGAGAGGGTTCTTTGTTTCTTTACTGCCAATGCATATTTTTAGAAACTTTACAATTATGGATCTTCTTAGAGTTCTGCAGAGGATTGGGCATTTAGATTTGTGAGTTTCATATGAAGGGTATAAATCTATAGTAAATTCTGTACACTACTGTAACACAACTCACTGCAAAAGCAGAATCTATTGCACACAACAGTACACTTGAAAACATGATCGGGGTGTGAAGTTTTTTTTTATTCATTTTACAGTATTTACACCACAATCACTGTGCGGCATCATGTCGCTGAGCTGCATCAGGCCACTTCACCTCATCCACATCACAGGCTATATTGTCTCTTGCCAGGCACCATGGGAAAAACGCCCTGGAATGGCGGATCCATCCTTGGAAGTTCTCCACTGGGATCTCAATACACGCAAGCTCCATTGCCCTCAGGAGGTTTTCTCTAGTGTATGGTTGTCTGTCATAAACCTTCCATCTCCACGATGAGAAGAACTCCTCTATAGGGTTCAGGCAAGGGAAGTAGGGTGGCAGACAGACGTTTAAAAAGTCGTTACTGTTGGTGGTGAACCACTCACTGATTTGGTTTGTTATGTGGAAGCGTACATTGTCCCAAATGATCACATAAATGGGATGTTCGGGCCCAGGATGGTGTTGTTGGCGGTCTAGGAGGATATTTTTTAGCTCCTCTAGGAAGGTTAGGAGACGTTGGGTGTTGTAAGACCCAAGGACAGCCTGCCGGTGGACAAGCCCCTCCAAACCCATGGCCGCACAAAGAGTAATATTACCCCCCCGTTGGCCAGGAACCTCAGTGATGGCTCTTTGGCCAATGATGTTACGGCCTCTTTGCCTTCGTTTGTGCAGGTTGAAGCCAGCCTCATCCAGGAAGAGGTACTCATGAGGTCTGGCCATCACGTCCAGCTGTAATATCCTCTGTGAAAATGTGAAAGTGCACAGGTGTTCAGAGCAACAGTCAATCCGGTAGCATATTACGTACTGTATTGTCCAGAAGTAATGTAGGCCACTGAGCAACACAGTATGTTTACTAACTGTACTGTGAACATGGATCTATACTTACTTGCACATACTCGTAACGTAGGTCTTTGTGGCGTGCAGAGTTTCGCTCAAAGGGAACCCTATAGACTTGTGTCATCCGCATCTTTTGCTGCCGGAGAACTCGGTCTATTGTGGCCAAGCTGACATCATCAATGCCCTCAAAGTTTACATTATCGTCAATGACTTTGTCTCTGATCTCCCGGAGTCTGATGAGGTTTTTCTCATGAACCATATCCACAATGGGGGTTTCTTATGCCGCTGTAAATATGGCAACCCGCCCACCTCTATGTGGCACTCTTTCAACTCTAAAGAAAGAAACCTGTCGTCAATTGACATGTTTTACAATACAGTAACAACTGATTTGAAACTACTGTAATAGACTACTTTCACAGGCTTGTAAAATTGTATTGTGACAAACAAAGCAATAGAGTACAATACCTGTTGTGTTGTCTGAATGCCCTGATAATGGTGGCCACGGTGAACCTACTCAGGTTTGGACGGACTCTTAGTCCTGCTTCAGCCATTGTCATGCCATGGACAATGACATGGTCAATGACTGTTGCTCGCATCTCGTCCGTAATGATGGTACGAGGTTGTCTTGCTCTCCCTCCTGGACCTTCTCTCCCTTGTTGGCCTCCTCCTCGTCCTCCCTGGCCTGCTCCTCTTCCTCCCTGGCCTGCTCCTCTTCCTCCCTGGCCTGCTCCTCTTCCACCATGGCCTGCTCCTCTTCCTCCCTGGCCTGCTCCTCTTCCTCCCTGGCCTGCTCCTCTTTCTCCCTGGCCTGCTCCTCTTCCACCATGGCCTGCTCCTCTTCCTCCCTGGCCTGCCCCTCTTCCTCCCTGGCCTGCTCCTCTTCCTCCCTGGCCTGCTCCTCTTCCTCCTTGGCCAGCTCTTCTCACTCCTCTGACGCGATTACCTCTGCCCCTGACTCTGCCTTCATCCATTGTGTTTGTTTGGAATCTTCAGCAAACTGTGCACTCTGAACTTGCTTTTATACATGTGGTCACAGCATTAGCAACAGGTGTTTTCAAATTTGAGTCATTGTGTGTAATGAATGACGCGAGGTGTGTTCATTTTGTTCAAATATTGCTGACTGTGGCAAGCATTTTGCATCACATAAGCTTTCATTTGAGAATATGAGCAGAGTTCTTTTGCAACTTGTGTTTTAGCAAGGAAAAATGTGTTAAGATTTATGTGAATGGAGGATTGTGTTTTGTGAATTGTGTCTTCATGTGAAATGTGTTTATGATACTGGAAAATGATGGCTAGATTTAGTAAATGTGTTTAGACAACTAGTCATTTGGTTTAGAGGATTGGCTTTTGTGTTTTAGCATTTGAGAAAAACTGTAATATGTATAGCAACACCACTCGCTGAGTTTGCAAAACTAAAAGCACAAACACTGCATTGCACTTAGTTTGCAATTTTGTAATACACATTTTGCAAAACTGTAGGCACAATACACTGCACAACAGTGCTCTATTACCACATTTCCAACACACTCCTAGTAAAATTATACACATGTATGGCTATCATTAACACTATTTTGCCAACTGTCTGGCACACTTTCACATGTGAAAACTGTTTTAGATAATTAGTTCACTTTGCAATCAGCCTAAGCACTATAAATAATAATAATTGATAATGACACCATCTTTCAAAATAGGCAATAAGCATTTCTTCATGAAGTCGTGTACTTGCACGCCACAGAATAAGAATGAAACAAATTTACAGAGTTCCTTTGGAGAGAAACACAGAACATGTAAAGCAACTGCGATATGACTATGTGCAGGTAAGCTATAGTGTCATTGATTCTGAATTTGGAAGCGCATACTGTAGTGCTGTGCATTGGCCTGATGTGATGCATTTGTTTTGTCTTGTCCAGAGAGTGATGAAACTAGAAGCAGATGCCATGGGACATGAGCTACTTTTTGTAGATGAAGCGGGTTTTAACCTCAGTAAAACCAGGAGACGTGACAGGAACATTATTGGACATAACCAATACATAACATAACCATGTGTGCAGCTATAAGCCAAAATGGTGTTGTTTACCATCATGCAACCATAGGCCCATACAGCTCTGCACACATTATTGCATTCCTGGACACCTTACATGACATGCTCACTGTTCAGAGACCAGAGCATACCCGATATGTCATCATATGGGACAATGTTAATTTCCATAGGGCTGCTTTGGTCCGCAACTGGTTTACAGACCACCCATTTCTTCATGCAACCTATTCTCATTATGAGTGCGTATGAAATCGTACGAAAAGTTATGCACCGTAATTTCGTACGTTTTTTACGCATGCGCATCTGACGCACCATTCACGAACATAGAATATAAATTACAATTAGCCCTAACCCTGACCCTAACCCTAAGATATAAAACAGCAAGCAACGTAGTTAGAGACATGAATAAGTGATGATTGCACTGTTTTTCCCAATTTTACGTCCGTCCGCGGATCTGCTTTTTTCTTCTGTTAGCCAGCGCATGCGCACTGATGTGGTTTTTTGAGGAAAAACGTCCAAAACGTTCGAAATAGTGTGCTTAACTTTTCGTACGATTTCATACGCACTGATAATAAGAATATGTTGCTTCATACTCTCCATTCTTAAATCCCATTGAGGAGTTTTTCTCTGCCTGGCGCTGGAAAGTGTATGACCGTCATCCTCATCAACAGGTAGCCCTTTTACAGACAATGGAGGAGGCATGTGGAGATATTGACCAGGCATCATGTCAGGCCTGGATACGGCATTCAAGGAGATATTTTCCCCGGTGCCTTGGACTGGAGGATGTCGCATGCGATGTGGACGAAATTTTGTGGCCGGACCCAGAAAGACGACATGATGTAGGCTGATTGTTTTTTTGTTTTTTGTGAAATTACTTTTTTGTGTTCTGACTTTGTCTTGGTTTTGATGAGTGTGAATAAACAGCAATACTTGAAATTTGGATCCTTGTATGTTTACATGACACTATGACAAAAGTATGACCTCAAATTGACATCTGTACACAGAGAAAGAGAAAGCCAGATGTGTTTTGTATTCATACCATCAGTGTGTAGTTGGCACATTGTGTGCTTAGTAGATGATGGCTTGTGTTTACTGTTTGATACGAAAACACAATTTTTACAAAGGTGTGAAGAGTTAATCTAGCTGTGTTCGCTTTTGCAAGAGAACTGCAATGTTTTGATAATTGGGTGAAAGTTTTTCTTATTTGTGTGTAGAGTTTTGCAAAAATAGCCAATAGTTACAAAAAATGTGCTTAAGCAATCAGAAAAAACTGTAATAGTAAATATTAATTATACTTTCATTTATATTCTTTGTTAGTATTAGCAGTAGTATTTTTACTGTTCTCAGGGTAGCTATCTTACAAGTTTACATTTACTCTTTAGAACTTTGCCTTTCAAAGTTATATAGTAGCAGCTATTCAAAATGCCCCTTCCCAGTCAAATGCCTGCCGAATGGCCGCCCACTTCCCTGCAACTCCGAGCAATATCCCCTCCAACTTCCAGCCACTGGAGTGAACCCCTCTTCCATATTTTTTAACTCTGATCATTTCACTGAATTACAGGGTGTGACCAGGAGGTGACACTTCTGTTTTGATCCTAATGTCCAAAAATCATGACTGAAAGAATATTTTTGTACAAAGATTAATGTTTAAAAAAGAATTGTAGGTGACCAGCCAAGGGCACATCAAGGAAAGTGGGGACATTTTGAATGGTTTCTAGTGAATTAGCATTGATATTTCAGTTTTGCTTTTGGTTGCAAAGCTTTATGTTGTTTTTGATTTTGCGATCATCGCATTTGCTCACAATTTTGACTTGTCAGTTACTGCACTGAAGTTGGAAGGGAAATTACAACCGGAAGACTCTAATCAGCCTCACCAGCTGATCGATGACATGACCGCACCTCCTCTGAAGTTAATCCTTGTCCAACATCTTCTTCATGATATCCACGTCCAGCGTCCAACGTTTATGGTGCAAACCACCTACCTCCGCTCCCTCTCCTCCCTCACTATCAGGCTATTCTCAGTCTCATTCATTCTCTAGCCTACTCCACCAACAGTGTCCTGGCCTTTATGTCCCACCCAGGTTGCTCATGTTCCCAGCACACAAACCTCTTTGATGTTATTGCATCCAAGACTTGCTTAGCAGAGATATTTTCCTCGTTATGAGATAAGTTTCATTCTTGTTATGATTTACAAGGTAGGTGCTTGACAAGAATGCAGACAGGACAACAGAAGATGTCTATGTTGAAATTGTTTAACCCTTCATAAGGCGAGATCTCATTTTTGATCCCTTGCAAACCCTTTACAAATGGAATCTCCCCTATCCCTACATGAGGTCTAGAAGCACAAGAAGCACAAGATACTGCTACATTTCTGTACATGTTATTTTGGCATTTGACCAATATGATGAGCCCTTCAATGATATATATTCCCTACTGTAAATTAAGTTTGAAATAAATAGTTAAAAAATAAAGTTCATACGCTAAGTTAAAAAATATGTGCCTGTATCAGCATTAACGCCTCTAAGGTTATATTGCAACAACAAAAAAAGGAATTAGTTTCTTTCACTCTGAGCGTTTTTCATGAATGTCCTATAAAAGCACTATGCTGGAATTTCTTTGGGAGTTATTGAAAAGACCCGCCCTCTCCACTTAAAAAAACCTTACAGGCAGACAGAAGATGATCAGACACAGACAAACTGCGCTAAATCTAGAACTAGTTTAACTTGGCACGGTTCAGTTGTGGCTCGGTTCTCTGATACAAAGAGCGCATGATCAGATAGCATAATTTCCTATTTACAGTCAGCTGACTTATTTTGTGGGTTTTCTGGCATGTCCAGCTTTGCAATCCAAAGATCTGTTCACCTGTTCACAACACAAACTTCTTCTCAGCCCATTTAGAAAACATGCACATGCATAACCCTGTACCCGCTCCCAAGAGGGAACACCTATGAAACTCGTGTGAGAGCCTGCAGGAGTCCATTTCATCCTGTGCAACTTTAAAAGTTCCTGTTCTAATAGCTCATACAAGCTTACTGTGTTTGAATGTCGGCCTTAACCCCTAAATCCCTCGTTCACTATATAGAGTGGGGACTACATAGTGGACTTTATAGACAACTCAGTTAACTGACCGTTTGGACAGATGATCACTGCTTTTTGCTACCCATTGGTCACTTAACTGATCCTCCACCAAGCTGTGCCTGCCCCATCTTTGTAATTAGTCACCGCTGCTGGGTAGCGACTGCCTATGTCAACAGCGGGCCACTCTGATGACAAATCCCATAATGCTTAGTGAGGAGAGCTCTCTGTGCAAAGCATTCTGGGATATATCTGCCTCTTCTGAGACCTTTCTTTTCTTCTCATACACTTTTTAGACACTTTTTCTCTCACAACCTTCTGCCATTTTCAAAGAACGAGGGTGTGAAAGGTGAGCTTCAATGAAATCGTAGCTCACCATAGATATATGCCTGAAAGTGTGCATTTGCACAAAAAGATAGCCAACTGGATGGGCACATAGGACGGGCTTACGTAAACATATCACCAGAATGATTGACAATTAGGAGGACCACTTAATTAGATGATCCACCTGGAAATAAACAATAGTCCTCTATACCTCTAAATGTATCATTGATTCAATAACACTGGAAATTAATGCAAAATTGATTGAATGCATATACAGTTAATTAAATGGGCCTC